TTCTCAGTTGGTTGACGTCCTCACAAGCAGTAGATGACTTTGGTTTAGATGAGGAGCTTATCCATGAAGCAATTTTGAGTCCTCAATTGCTTTCAAATAGTTATGAAAAAGCATTGGAGAAGGCTCATTTGGAATATGAGATTGCATCACAACAAGAATGTCAGGACATACTTGACTCTCTCAAAAGTTTTCAGTTTGAGGATCAGAACGAAACCTCTGCTTCTACTGGCGATCAGGATTTTAATGTCAATGATCCATTAAAAGTGATTCCCCAAGTTGATGGCTCCAGTGATGATCAAAATATTTTTCCTCAAGTTGAAAAGGCTTCTAATAGAGACCCCAAGAGAAAGATGGAGATGGAGATGACTACTTCCAGTATCACTGAAAAACAAATGGATCGTCGGTCTGGAAGGAAAACGAAAAGAAACCATCTGTCGTGGGGTCCTCCACCCTTTTCTATCGAACAAAAGAGGCCAATAGTTTCATGTTACTCAAATGATGTTTCTGAGCTTTTGCATCCGGATGAGAGGGAAGGTACTGCTGATGCTAGTTCTTTGCCTCTTATATATGCATATGAAAAATCTGAATCATCAGAGACTGAAACAGGACATAAACTTGCATTCGGGGAGGAGGGAAGACAGCCAATTTATTCTGTGAAGGATGAGATGAGAAGCAAGCATTGCTGTAGTATTGAGCAGTTCGAACATGGACAACATTTATTGGAGGTGACTACTGAGAACCAGTACAATAAAACAAACCGAACGGAGGAGCAAGAAAGCAAATCACATGGAAATAATAAGGATTCCATGACGCCTTCTGAAATTCCTCACGAAGAATCATGTTTTCCCAAAAAGCACGGGACTTTTGTTGGCCCAGAAAGTATGACATGCAATATAATATGCAGTGATAGCCCAGGTGATGTGGGCCAGCCAGGAGAATTGCATAGTTCGGCTAATTTCTACTTGCAGGATAATGCACTGAATGAAGATCTTGATCCACATAAGTCACCAATAACGAGAGAGTGTTTGGATACTTCTATAGGATCTCTGGAGGTAGTAGATGGAAGCGTGCTTCAAATGAATGATTCATCAAATAAAGTTCCTGGATCATTTGATATGAGGCAGTTGCCTCCTGCAATGTTCACTTTGCTATCCAAATGCTCAGGAGGATATAGCTCACGTCCAGGTTCTTCTGGGAATGGAGTGAGCAGAATTGTAAGTTTCAAACCGGATTTGTCTGAAGGTGATGTTCACTTGAACAATTTGGGCATTGTAAAATCTGCTTTTTATTTAAATACCCTGCAAGACAATGAGAGTGGCTGTGAAACTTCGGGCCTGTGCACCGCTCTGGTAATGGAAGACGCTCCTGTTGGTTTCCTTGAGATGACTCCGAATAGAAGACCTCCTAGTGATGTTTCAGAGAGGTTGATACCTTTGACTGATGTTATTCAGAACACAGACAGCATGAGCGTGCCTCATTGTACGTTCATCAAATTTATAATATTATTCTTTACTTATTTCCCACAACAGCTATGATTTCAGCCGATTGTTCATGGCATTGTTATTTGGTTTTCTTATCTTGCAGTGGTAACCTATCACAATAAAATTCATTCCCTTCTCCTTACAACTCACTAGAAATGTGATGCATGAATTTAGTTTCTTCCTCTATTCAGCCTACTGCATTGATTACATATCGTCGTTTATACTAATTATATGCTACTTTTTTGTGCTTAGGAAGGAAAGAAATAAACATGCCTTGGTTTTTTTGTGATTACATATCGTCTTTTATATATTTCTTTTATAATTGTCCCTTATAGATAGTTGTCTTTGATAAACCTTCGTTTATCTTGGTATCCTTTTGTTCAACGTTCTTTAGGTATTAATATGTGGTTTAGACTGAGAATTGTCCAGTTGAGCTTTGCTGAACTAGGTTCTCTTTCTTTAGTGGGTCGATCAACTCCATTCGTTTTAGTAAATTCTGTTGTTTCCTCAATCGTGATAGATTTAGTGAACTCTGACGTAGAGATCTGTTACTCTTTTTTGGACTCAGAATTGGATTGGACATTTGGAAGAAGCTAGAATGACAACATGGTTAATTGATGATGGGAGTTGTCACGTATTTCACATTATGTAGGTGGTGTGTGGTGACGATAGGCGCTACCATGTTCGTTCTGAGTAACTCATACTGAAAATTTCCATTTTTATAAGGTTTATTTTCCTTATAATTTTTATTTACCTTTTCTGATCTGTCAATTTTATTTCTTGGGTTTTATACCTGCTATTACAAGAGATAGCTATTAGATGCAGGGCTATGCCAATTTTTTATAGTTCTGCAAATAAATGTTTTTAGTTCTGTAAGCAAAGATTTATCTTTGCCATATCCGTACTAGTATTAAAGGATGCATGCCACATACATTAGGTGTTTGTTATTGCGCAACAGTATTTACTAATTTTAGCTATTGTTTCTTAATTACAGGCGACAGACATCAGTTTCTTGATTTTCAACCATTCTTTAACGATGCTGGCGTGGAGAAAGGGGTTCGTAAATCTGCTATTGCTGGATCTTATTCAGAGACCATTGGGAGTATTCCTATGAACTTCCAAAATGACGGTTCCTTCTCTTATTTGTTGACCTTTGCCGTCTGTCCACCATCCCCGCAATCTGTCTATCATTGGCTTTTGAGACAAACGAAGAAGAATGCATTGTCCCTATCCATTGGTATGGACTAGGAATGAGATGCCACTTGATGTTAATTTCAAATGTCTCATGGCTAGTACTTGTGTTTTTAAGTGTAACATGACATTTACATTTGCAGATGCTTCTTCGGCTGGTGAGGATTGTTCAGGAAATGTGAGTGAATCCTGCCATGGTTGCCATCATGATATTCAAACCTCCATGTCCCCTGAGGTTTTGGATGCTTCGATATGTCCTGACTCTGAAGGGCTTTCTGGAAAATACTGTGACTCTCCAAACTTTGCTGTGAATGATTCACAAAACATAAATGCTCACTCTTGTGATGGCAATGTTGATGTGAAGTTGGAAAATGTTTTGGATTCTGATGCTGAAACAGCTAATAAATCACAAGGTGAGGCCATCAACGTGCATCGTAAATTGTCCGCTGGCGGTTACTGTGATATTTCACAGATTTCTGGGCTAAATGAGAGGACAAAGCTTACTCCTTTGAGTCAAATTGGCTTTCGTGATCCTGCTAGCGGTGGCAGTGGACAAAATCTTACATTGCTTAGCTTGGAGGTATGGATGCTGGCATGCTCTGTTTACTCGTCACACAGACAGATCTGCAGAAATATTGTCTCGGTTCTCATGGCTATTCTAATCTTATGATTCTTCATGTTAACTTCTAGAATTTGCAAATAGGACCCTCAGTTTGCTGTACATTACCATCCTCATAATCTTATGATTCTTCATGTTATACATTAACTTATTCTACAACTATTTCGTTGTTATTACAGATTCAGGCAGAATCCAGGGGAAGTCTATTACCTGATCCTCAGTTTGATGCTATAAATCTTATATCTCTTGCGATTCAGGAGGATACAAACTATGACCCAAAGTTTTATGTTCTTGTGCGCGGTACTGATGTGAAATCTTATGGAAGGTACCGAACATTTTATTTCCATCTGTAGGATAGGAGCACCTCAGGTTGGGTTATCATTTGTGTTTGCTTCTGTCTTGTGTTTCGGGATTTGTTTGAAGGGATTGTTTGTGAGATAGTTATTTTAGCATTCATTTTGTTAACATATTTGGATTTTTCTAAAACTGCTGTCTGCATTTTTTTTCTGATGGTCCATGTGTCTGGGCTAGAGAAATTTAGGCGGATCCTGGATTATCATCTCTTCATGATTGATCGAAAACATCTCTATAAATTGAAGAAAGATGCTTTAGTTATGTATGCTATTACCAGGAAGTTATTAGTGGTAAACCAACGAATGATTTTTCATGTAGTCTTGGTTAGTCCATAAGCTGCTTGCTCTCCGTCTATTCCACATGATCACTACTGCTTTGCAGATTATGTCTTATCAATGATTTTTTGGTGAGATTACTATGTATTTCTGGATATGTAATATATCAATATCTTGGAGAGCCCGGAAAACTGCTCATCTCAATAAACAATATCAGCCAAAAATTGCCCCACAAGCAGATAAAGAAATAAGTCATGGGACTCCGCGCAGCAAAGCTGGTTGACTGCTGTGGAAGTCTCAGTGGCCTCAGTAACTTCTCTATGCGAAGCATGAATTTCTATCCTTTCCACGTTCTAACTCAATGAAATTTTGGTAGTTTTTTCTAGTTTAGTGTATTTTTTTCTTTACAGCTATTGATTAATTTGCTAAGTTCCCAACACAAGATTGTCCGAGGTCAAGCATTATGTCCGTTCTGTTTCTGATATTTGTTAGGGTAGGAGTGGTATATCTAGGTGGTCATATCGAAGTCTAATTATGGCTTTCTAAGTGTTAGTAATTTTGAGTTAATATCACGCTTATATGTTTATGTCATAGAGGATAAATTGTGTTTATTTCATGAAATTGATTAACTCAGTTTAACTTCATGGAATTGTTGTGAATAGGCTATGATTCAACAATGAATTCAGATTGTGATGCACTTTCTATCTTAGTGGACTCTTGCTAATCATATTGATTATAATTATGACGTGGCAGTTTGTGGATTTTCAGAATTAATCTTTGATGAAAAACATTATCTGGTATAATTCTTGGAGTTTTCTTGAAGGGCACGGGCTAATTTTAATTATTCTTTGCAGAAATTTTGATGGAATATCTGGCTGTGCGCTTCTAATATTCCCAGAAGAGCGATTGCTATTTGACCATCTAGTGAAGGTTTTTATTTCTTATGATCCAGATATTTTACTAGGCTGGGAAGTTCAAGGCAGTTCCCTTGGCTATTTAGCTGAACGAGCTGCACATCTTGGCATGCACTTACTGAAGAAAATCTCTCGCACTCCGGATATTGACACCCAGCATATGGTTATGAAATCTGTGAATCATGATAAGGAAGTGACAGATAAGGTGACTTCTGAAACTGGTATTGAGTCAATTGTTGTTGATGCTGAAATAATCGAAGATGAGTGGGGTCGTACTCATGCTAGTGGTATACATGTCAGTGGAAGAATTGTTCTCAATGTCTGGCGGTTGATGCGGTCTGAGCTTAAACTGAATCTATATACAGTAGAAGCTGTCGTTGAAGAAGTATTACGACGAAAGGTTCCTTGTATACCATGTACAACGCTGAACAGCTGGTTCTCTAGTGGTAGCCAAAGGGCACGCTTTCGATGTATTGAATATGTCTTGGAGAGAGCGAATCTTAACCTTCAGATACTGAACCAGCTAGACATGGTGCGTTAACCCATATCCTTGTACAGGATATATCGTTGTCTGTCTTTTTCAATTTATGTCAATTCTTCATCTGGATAGAACAATGTCTTTATGCTTGTGGTACTCTCTGGCGTAATTTTATGTTTCAGCTGGATTTTCTGTACTTCACAAGCAACTAATGAGTATTCTGCATGAAAATGCGTGTGTTAAACTAGTACCATATAAAATGCGACTATTTTAGGCCAGAAAACCGATTGATTATTTTAAGCAAGGTATATTTGGATTGGATAAATTTAGCTCTGTTAAACAACTATCTCTGACCCATTCAACAAAATCTTCCATTTCAGTCTCTCATGATCTTTTCCCATGGACGTCTCAGAAGACCGAATTCGCCCGAAATACATCAAGTTTACATACTATTCTCCTTCATACCCAACATCTCCTTCAAGTATTTTTCTTTTTTACCTGGCTTACACGTATGTTTTCTAAATATAAGGTGGCAAAAATTCCTATCATCCAATGCTCATTTCAGAGAAATTTATTGCCCTAAGTAATATCTAGTGCTTTCTTTTTCTACTTTCTGTCACGTGCATATCAGGTCTCAACGTTTAGAAGGGACCTCAGGGAAGGTTGTTTAACAGAGCTGAGTATATTTGGTTTAGTTTTTTTAGTCGAGATAACACGTGATCTGAAGCTCTGATAGGCGCCCAGCACTCGTGGAAGAAGAACTCAAACTTTATTGATCAAAAAACAGTTTACAAGGAGAGCGGGATCCAGTATTTATACCAGATCCCTAGAAGGTTCTAGACATATCGATGTAACACGAAATGAAAGGTACATGGGGACACATGTAAACATGTAAGGTATACAGGTTATTAAGTACATCTCGACAACAGTTTTCTACTTGCATATGGTGATCGAATGAGAAGGGTCCACATGATTAATCAGAGTGAATATTCCAGAATTTTGTTTGGTTTTCTGAGGAACAATGGCTTTATGTCTGTTTATGCGAAGCTAACAGCCTCTGCCCATTTCGGGCACTCATGAAAGAAGCAAAGTTTGAATAGTTCAGCAGAGTGAGATGCCTTCTTGAAATCCATCCTGTGAATGAATCATGGTGCCTTCCCCAACACCGCTTTTCCTCAACTTTCAATAAGATTGTAGTTTCCAGAGGAAACCACCCTGATTGCTTGCTCTCGGTATGGGTTTCAGCCTCGTTTTCCTTAGAATAAGACAATGCTGCTTGATTACCTATACCCAAATCGGACCAAATCGGACCAAATTGGATGAGTATCTATTGTTAGTTGAACATTTATGCTTAGGGGTTGATTTTATTGTCTTTTTACCTTACGTTGGCTGATAAAAGTGGTCTGAGAAATCGTTTGAATTTTGAAAACTGTCATTCCTATCTTTATTTTTTGTTTCTTATCTGCAGGTAAACCGAACATCTGAGCTTGCTCGTGTGTTTGGAATTGACTTCTTTTCTGTTCTCTCTCGAGGCTCACAGTTTCGTGTGGAATCTATGCTTTTAAGGTTGTTGCATAGTCAGAATTATCTTGCCATTTCTCCTGGGTACCAACAGGTCTCTCTCTCTCTCGCTCTCTCTCTCTCATATTCACTGATTTTGGATGCTGCATAGTTTCGGTTTGAATTGTTCATGGTGCATTTAGTTTACTGCCTAGCCAGTTATTACCTTGGAATCAAATAACCCTCGAACTTGGCTCTTTTTCCTATTTAATTAAACCCGGGAAACTCCTGGATCATAATGCACTAGGCCTAGCCAGTACCCATGATGGCCCTTCTTTGGTTTTGTTTTTATAAATACGATTGAAAAATTCTGGAATTATACCAGCTGTACTGCCTTTCACAGGTTGCTTCACAACCTGCAATGGAGTGCCTTCCCCTCGTGATGGAACCAGAATCTGGATTTTATACTGATCCGGTCATTGTTTTGGATTTTCAATCCCTTTATCCCTCAATGGTAATAGCATATAATCTCTGCTATTCTACATGCTTGGGAAAAGTCTTGCCCTCCACAGGAAACATACTCGGTGTGAGCTCATTCTCCCCAGATCCTTGCCTTCTTCTTGACCTCAAGGAGAATACGCTGCTATCTCCAAATGGTGTTATGTATGTGACTTCAAAGGTATGCCGGTTCACCATCTCGTGATCTGATAAAATTCATTACAAGCATAAAACCTCTGGCTTCTTAGTTCTTGCTCCGTTTTTTTCGAATAAATATCTCAGTAATAATATTTTCCAAACCTTTTCTGAGTCTGGGTTACATATTCTGTCTATCAGATGACAGTCAAGAAAAAAACTTCTCGCAACTATACTAGTTTAGAAAATTCAGAAATGATTTCCAATAGAATGGCGGATTTTTAACTTATTACTTACCTCCCTTATGAATTTTCCCTTATATCCATTGTTCAATAAAAAAATAATTATCTCTAAAAACAAATCTTTGCTATGCTTAATATATTTTTGAATTTAATCTATATGGCTTAGACAATGTGTGCTTGGAAAACAAGAATCGGTTTTTTAGCAAGGTAAGGAATGTATCGTCAAATATTCAATATGATTCCACAGGATCGATTTTCGTTCAAAGTAACAGATTCTAGCCAATTGAAAGGATCTTCTGATCAATCCAGAGATTGTTTTGATTCTATTAGAAATGAGGACTTTCATTCACCTGGAAACCATTTTCTACAGACTTGGGTATGATGCTGATACTAGACTGGTGAAGCAACCCACGTGAAAAATGATGAGACAATCTATATATATTCTGGGAACCACCCAATAACTATGCTACCCACCTAGTCATGGAACTTATTTTACTAAATGGAGTAAAATCTATTGAATCATCGTGAAGACCCTGGAAATGTTTGGAATTGCGCTAAAATTATAGTACACGGAAATTATAGAAACTTTTTATTATGGGACCCACCCAATCACTATGCTACCCACCTATTCATGGAATTGTAATAAATGGAGTAAAATCTATTGAATCATCGTGAAGACCTTGGGGTTTGTTTGAAATTGCACTAAAATGTTCAGGGAAATGATCGAAACTTCTTATTCGGCCGCTGATTAGCTCTAGAACATTGGTGATGCTTTCATACTCCTCTTGCTTCCCAATATACTTCTCTGGCCTTTTTTCTGGTCTTTCTTGTGGTTTGCTCATCTGCGCTATGTGAAGTGCAGGTTCGTAAGGGCGTGCTACCCCGCATGCTGGAGGAGATATTATCAACTAGAATAATGGTAAAGAAAGCGATGAAGAAGCTGATGCCATCGCAGCAAGTTCTACAGAGGGTATATACCTCTCTTTTTTTTCTTTTTTTTTAAAACCCTTTTTGGTGGCTTACTCCCTAAAAAATCATGTGGATTCAGGGCTGGATGTTCGATGGGCATCTTTCCCATTTTTTCTAGGAGAATTGAATCATGGAATATTTCACATCCTTGCCCATTCTTGCATTGCAGATTATGAACGCTCGTCAGCTGGCTCTGAAGCTCATCGCAAACGTCACTTATGGCTACACGGCCGCCGGTTTCAGTGGGCGCATGCCCTGCGCCGAGCTCGCGGACAGCATTGTCCAGTGCGGCCGGAAGACCCTAGAAAAGTCAATCTCGTTCATAAATTCTCACAGCAAGTGGAATGCCAGGGTGGTCTATGGCGACACGGATAGGTATCTCCTCTTGTCCATCTGGGAATATCATAGAAAATAAAATCGATTATTAACCCAATTATGCGGAGATAAATAATATAATTGTAATGGATCTTTTGCAGTATGTTTGTTCTTCTACGAGGGAGGTCGAGGGAGGAGGCATTTGAGATCGGGAGGAATATCGCGGTGACGATCACCTCGATGAACCCTAAGCCTGTCGTGTTGAAGATGGAGAAGGTCTATCATCCCTGTTTCCTCCTCACCAAGAAACGCTATGTGGGCTACAGCTATGAGGACCCCGGCCAGGTCAAACCCTCCTTTGATGCCAAGGGCATCGAGACCGTGCGCCGAGACACGTGCCCGGCTGTTGCAAAGACCTTCGAGAGATCCCTGAGGCTGTTCTTCGATCGCCGAGATATTACCCAGGTATGAATTTGTGCTGTTTCTCTTTTCTTTCTCTCTCTTTTAAGTTTGATCGTTGACTTTATCGTTGGGCCTGAAATGGATCGCCAGGTCAGACTGTATCTGCAGCGTCAGTGGGCCAGAATCCTGTCCGGCAGGGTGTCTCTCCAGGACTTCATATTTGCCAAGGAGGTGAGGCTGGGCACCTACAGCTCCGGTGCCGCTGCCTCTCTTCCTCCGGCGGCCATTGTTGCCGCCAAGGCCATGAAGGCCGACCCCCGGAGGGAGCCACGATATGGTGAGAGAGTGCCATATGTGGTGGTCCACGGGGAGCCTGGGGCCCGCCTGGTCGACATGGTCGTTGACCCGCTGGAGCTCCTGGAAGTCAGCTCTCTGTACCGGCTGAACGACTCATACTACATCAACAAGCAGATAATTCCGGTTCTCCAGCGGGCTTTTGGGCTTGTCGGCGCCGACCTGCGCCGCTGGTTCTCCGAGACGCCCCGCCCGCTAAGACCGACAGCCGCCAAGCGCCTCCCATTGGGCTCCGGCTCTTCGGTCTCTATGAAGGGTCCCCTGAGAAATAGAATCGACAGGTACTACCTCTCCAAGAACTGCGCCGTGTGCGGCAACCTGGTGCAGAGGTCAACGTTCCTCTGTGACGAATGCTTCGCCAGGGGTCCTTCCACTGCCGCCATCTTGATTGGGAAGACATCAAAACTGGAGCAGGACCTCCACCATTTGTCAGATGTACGAACCCAAATCCGTATTTCTCTCTCTCTCTCTCTCTCTCTCTCTCTCTCTCTCTCTCTCACTATCTATCTGTCTATCTCTATCTCTGCAGATATGCGGGCACTGTGGGGGCGGGGACTGGATTATAGAGAGCGGAGTGAAGTGCACCTCCCTTGCATGCCCAGTGTTCTTCGAGAGGCGGAAGGCACAGAAGGAGCTCTGGTCCCTCTCAACTGTCGTCGCTGAGGCTGGCTTCTACCCGAGATGTGTCTCTGAGTGGTTCTAGTTCCTCCAAGTCACTTGTAAATCGCCGCCTCCCCTCTGTTCCATTACTGGTACTTAGATTGCCGTATAGCTAGAGCAGCCTCTGATCCATCGCTCTGTCGTATGTAGATTCTTTGTCCGAAGCTCAGACATCATCACCATCACACTGTACCATCACCAGTAAATAAGCAGAGTCAACGTGCCCACAAATAGCAAGTTATCCCCCCATCTGAAGCCATTTTCCTGGTCAAATCCCATGCCCTGTTCAAGCGGATTGTTGTTGCCGGAATAGTGTGGCCTTGATAGGATCCCTTCCGTCTGTGGCTTATGGATCCTCGTCCATGCGCTGTCATACTGTAACACCAGAAAAGTCAACGTGTCCAAAAATGGCAAGTTTCCTACGTCCACGTCCGCGGTTCCGTACGGTACCGCCGAAATGTCCTATGATGTAAAGTTCTTTAAAGCGAGGATATATCTGGAAAAAATGCGGGTTACTTTAATATATATATATATATATATATATATATATATATAACTGGTTTTGTGATTTTGTGGTTGACGTGCTGTGTTATTATTCTTATGGGACTAAATGGAGACCTTGTAGGTTGCCATTTTTGGGCCACCTCTATTGGGATATAAAAAATGGTTTATGCCTATAATTCAAGGGATATGAATAAAAAAATCCCCCAATTAAGTACTTTCAATCGCCGACAAGTAGGAAGTCTGTGGCCATTCGGGAGGCACATTGGGCCGGCAGTAGTCGGCCCAATAGAAGAAACCCCTCATCGAGAGCTACCAGTCTTCCGCCCTAACCGTTCCTCCCGAGCGAGTCTCCCTGTAACCGCAACGCCCTCCTCTCTCTCTCTCTCTCTCTCTCTCTCTCTCTCTCTCTTATTCCCCGACCTTGGTGGAGGGGTGGCTCGTCGTTGTCGTCGCGCAGGAAGGGAGAGTCTGGGGGAGGAGGATGGATCCAAACCCTAAGAGCTTCCCCGTGGTCTCCTACGTCTTGTCTCGGCTCCACCTGGGATCCGGGAGCAGGAAGAACCCCCCAGAAGCGGACATTGACATTGAGCAGCCCTCGCCGCGGGAGGACGACGGAGGGAGGGAGCAGCAGCAGTTCGAGCTGGTGGAGCGGATGCCTCGCCTGAAGCAGCCGGAGCTCCTCGCCTCGATGGCGCAGGCCATCTCCGACGTCGCCGGGACGCGCTCCATCCTGCGGAACCTCGGCGATCGCCCCGATCACGAGGCCGTCGACGCCGCCCGCGCGAGGATAGCAGAGATCGACGCCGCGCTGGCAGCGGACCTCGTGGCGCTGGGAGATGCCGCCGCGGGCGACCTGGAAACGGAGTATCGGGGGAAGGCGGAGAGGGAGAAGTTCGCCTACCGGGCTGTGATTCAGCTCGAGGAGATGCACGCGGCGTACGAGGAACTGCTGAGGGAGGCCGAGGAGAGGCTCGTCAAGATCTACGATTCGGCGGAGGCGGAGGAGCCGCCGCCGCCGGCGGTGGCGGAGCTGCAATTCGGGGGCGGCGTGTCAGAGGAAGCGAAGGACGGAGGGGAGCAGACGGACGAGGAGGTCGTCAGGATCTTGCAGGAAGCGTCTGAAAGGTGCGTGGAGAGAGTGAATCTCTCCGGCCGCGGGCTCAGATTCATCCCGGAGGCATTTGGGAGGCTCCGAGGCTTGCTCATCCTCAACCTATCCAACAATCAACTGGAGGTTTGCCAACCTTGTTGCTCGTTCCACCCTCTCCATTATATGATTCATCTCCTTTTTCATATGTTTCGAGGTTCATCTTAATTCTTAATCTCACTGCAGTCTCTGATCCCACGGATGGAGTTGAAATCTGTATGAATTTTGTCTGAACCAGAGAAATCCGACTACAGTTTTCCCTCTTTTCCTCCTGTTCTTCCCTGAATTAGCTAGAACTCTCCCACCCTTAATCCCCATTTGATGAGGGGATCGGTAAGCCCTGGTAGAATCAATCGTCAGGAAAGCCTAATTTAGAACCCATAGCGTTGATCACATGGTGGTGTAGTGAGAACTTCTGGATTGGCTGAAACCCTCCCTCCCGGACCGCCATTTGATTCTGATTTTCCTGTTTTTTTTTTTGTCCTATCATCATTGACGGGATGGATGATCTTCAGCTCTTTCTGCGCTGCCATTTATGTCCTCGCCTTGTTTACTGACGATCTGGATCATCATCCACCGTGATTTCTCAGGTCGTTCCCGACTCCATAGCGGGGCTGGAGAATCTCCAGGAGCTCCGCCTCTCTTCCAACCTCCTCACATCGCTCCCCGACTCCATCGGCCTGCTGGTCAATCTCAAGATTCTGGTTGTCTCAGGGAACAAGCTCAAGTTCCTCCCAGATAGCATCTCCAGATGCAGGTCTTATCACTGTTCTTCGACCTTTTTCTTCCCGCTGGATTTCATCTTCTCGGAGGACGACAGATCTCTTCTGATCGGAGGCTTCCGGTGAATCAGATCCCTGGTCGAATTGGACGCGAGCTTCAACGAGCTCACCTACCTGCCGACCAACATCGGCCATGAACTGGTCGATCTCCAGGGGCTCTCGATCGGACTCAACAAGATCCGGTCCCTGCCTTCCTCCGTCTGCGAGATGATATCCCTCCGCCGCCTCGACGCTCGCTTCAACGAGCTCCGGGGCCTGCCGCACGCCATTGGGAGTCTGACGAACCTCGAAACCCTAGATCTCAGCAACAACTTTAGCGATCTGACGGCTCTCCCGGAGACGATTGGCGATTTGGTCGGCCTCCGGGAGCTCGATCTCAGCAACAACCAGATCCACGCCCTCCCGGATGCCTTCGGCAGGCTGGAGAACCTGTCCAAGCTGAACCTCGAGGGGAATCCGCTGGTCCTCCCGCCGGTTGAGGTGGTCAACCAGGGGGTGGAGGCCGTGAAGGAGTTCATGTCCAGGAGGTGGCTCGAGATCCTTCTTGAAGAGGAGCAGAGGGCCACGGTGGAGGCGGCGCCGCCGCAGTCGCCCCAGGCGGCTGGCGGCGGCTGGCTCTCCCGCAGCGCCTCCTTGCTGAACAGCTTGGTCTCCGGCGTCTCTGGAAGCGTCACGGGATACCTCGCCGGCGCCGATCGCTCTCCCAGGGACCCCTTCCTCGACCAGCAGCTGTAAGGAACCACCCCCTTCCTCCTTCCCTTCCTCCTTCCTCCTTCCTCCTCCCTCCTCCCTCCTCCTCCTTCCTCCTTCCTCCTTCCTCCTTCCTCCTTCCTCCTTCCTCCTCCTTCCTCCTTCCTCATCCTTCCTTCTTCTTCCTCCTTCCTCCTGCTCCCTGGAAGAAGAAGAAGAAGCAACTACCTGGTCTCAGTCATTTCGTCGAACGAGTCTCGTGTGTAACTCGGACCGATTTGGGATCGGCTCAATGGCCCCCCAGTGTCATCCGACTCTTGGCCGGTTCTCCGCTCGTGGCTGATGAGAGATCGGACCGCTCCGGTTCTCCGCTCGATTTTTGGGGGTGAATAATTTTGTCCGTGACATTAACAATTCCGCTGTTATTTCGCGCTTCAGCTTATTATATAATTTACAGCTTATTTATTACTCTTAATTCAGCTAATTTGTTGGGAGAGCACCGAGATGACGTCATATTTACTATTCTAATAGACTTTTTTCTAGTAGGACTCACTCTTGTTTACTTTATTGTAAATCTATTTTTTTAAAAAACTCTTATATGAGGGGAAAACTGCAAAAAATCTGGAACAAGTATTTAAATAAACATATTTTAAATACAGTTGACATTTCAAAAATTATATAATTCGGAAATATTTGCGAAACAAAGCCTCGTTGACTGTCCGACGCGGAACCTCAGCGAAGGGTTTAAGCTCCCTGAGAATAGGTTGAAGAGAAGTCGCCCGCCTCTCCCCACTCGAGGGTTTCTGGAGAGGCGGCCACAGCAAGCGTCCATCTCTCTCTCTCTCTCTCTCTCTCTCTCATGGCTCCCTCTTCACTTCTCATAGCCCGGCTCCGAGTTTGTCCTTCCTTGTCTATATCTCGTTATACGATCAGGAACAGGCAACATCTCTGTTGCGTGCGGACCTTCTCCAGCTCGCCTCAGCCTCTTTCGCAGCCCGACCCTGTGATGCCTCTCCCCACGCAGGCGGCCCCCCGTGACCCCAAGGCCGGCCTCTCTGAGCGCATGTCCTTCGTGTTCGACCAGATTGACGCCATGGAGCGCATGCGTGGTGCCAAGGACGAGGCCCTGGACAGGATCCGCGCCTGGCGTCAGACCAAGAAGCAGCAGGAGGAAGGACATGATGGCGCCGACGGTGAAATGAATGGTCCGGGTATTGCGGACTCGGCAACTGCATCAGAGAGAGCTGGAAGCCAAATGGTGGTGGAGAAGGGAACTGGATTGTTAGTGGAGGAAGGGGGGAGGTCTTTGTTCAAAAAGGAAGTGGAGCTTGTCCACCCGTGGCCTGAGTGGATTGAGTTAATGGAGAGGCTTATGAGTCAGAATTACTTCGACCATCGGCGCTTTGACGAGAACCAGATGGTGAAGAACCTCCCAATTGACCTATCTGGGGTTGTGGATGATGTGGGTTTCAACTTCACGAGGGACTGGAGTACAGTCCGTACGGCATGTCTCAACTTCGGCCGAGACCGTTTTGATATCTTGAGGTACTAACTGAGACATGAAAATCAAGGTTTATTTTTATTTCCAGTATGTGCGCAAATTAGTGACACATTTCTGGTTTGGTATCGAATAAGTAAATGCAATCTAAGAATTGTGCATTCTTTTGGAATAACCGAGTACTTCAGGAAAATCGTAGCTGTGAACTTGGTCACTGGCTATTCGGATTCATAGCCTGAAATTATATTGACTGTATGCTTCCTCTGAATTTAGGTCTTTGTCTAAGAGGGATTTGCAGATCCTTGTTGGACATGGATGCCCCAGCACAGACAAAAAGGTGGCATACTCTGCAAAGCTACTCAGGAAGCACGCTCATCTTGACGAAGGAGATGTATGGACCACACAGCATAATCTTTGAATAATTTGGAGTGAGAAAATAGACCTGCTGATTTTTTGAATTGCTTAGGACTCCCTTTCTGAACATCTCGATTTCATCAGTTGTAGTTTTTGTACAATTATCTAATGTTGAAGTTGTTCATTATCTAGCTTAATGCAATTTTTGATCCTTTTGGTAAGCAGTAGAACCGTGATTGTTTTATTCAATGGGTGGTATCTCAAGGAAGAATAATGTCCAGGGAGATAATTCTATTAAGTTTAGGATGTTGACTCTTGATCTTTAAACTTGAATCTTAAGGAATTCTAACGGTGTTAAAGTTTGATTCTTATTATAGGTCAGTTATCTTGTGGATATCAGCTCAAATACGTTGATATATTGTCTAGAAAATGTATTTCTCTAATTTGTCTCTGGTCCTCGTTATTAGGGAGTCCTTGCTCATGCTTCCATGATTCAAGCATAATCTACGTTATCAATCAGAAGACTCCTTGTGAAAGGAATTCTAAATGTGACTCTTGTTAAGGTCACAATTAATGCCAAGGAAAGTTGTATTGTATTTCACTAGTGATAAGAGTATGCATGCAGTTGGCCTTCTTTCGGTGAAGAAATTCGATATGATGTTATAGGGAAATCAGTGAAGGATGAATCATGAATATTAGTATAGCCTTGGGATAACTTTTTCAGGCGATAGGCTGTCAAACATAATCGTTTGATATCTAAGGAGTGTGGTGTACCTAATAGTTAATCAATGGAGTTTCGCGGTAGATTCAGTGTTTTGAAAGGTGTACGGCTCCACAGTGCTGCCCTCCGCTGTACCTTCGTCGAATTGAATGCAAAAAATGATTGAGAACGAATTACTCTGGGATAATAATAGGAAATGAGGTATTAGGTCATGACTATTACTGCTGGGGAGACTTAGGCTTCCAGTCTTGTAGGGATTGGAGGCGTGGTGAATATCATAAGCAAAATTCTCTTAATGGCTCTCTTCCATACGTTCATTAAACAAGATCAGAAGATTGAAGCGGGAGAAAATCCTTGTTTTTTTTTTTTGTTTTTTTTCAGTATGCTAGTAAAGAGCCTCTGTTTTGTTAGCAGAAAACATGTCAATGCTTGAAAATCTTATCCCCACTGATATAACAATAAGAGGGTTCGAAGTAAGAATCATTGTGACTTTGATTAATCCTTTTAAAATAGAGTTGGCAGAAAGTACACCATATTTGCTGCTATGGCTCAATGGAACATGATATTGTTGATGTGAGTGAATGAAAACTAGAATCTGCTTTTGTTTCTTTCCCACCCAATTGCTTATAAGAGTGTGAGGAATAGGATACCCTGCAATCGTGTCTCGCCTTTTAATGAAGATATGGCTTCTGCTCAGTCATCAGAGAGATCTGACTCATATCAGTACACGTGTGGGAGGCAAGCTTTCATGGTTGGGGACAACTTATGACCTCTTTTTTCTTTTTATTTTTTCGCTTAGTTGAGGGTGGCGGGGGTAGTGTATTCGCCTTATAATTCATAAATAATGGTATGGATTGATGTACTTTCTAGAGCAGTGCTCCTTTCTAGTAGATGTCACATACTGCTACTTCCTTTGTCTCATCCCAAAGTGGGTATTTCGGATCATGCTTCATAAGTCGCATATTATTTTTTGATATGTGATAATGTTCATTCTTCTCTGTATTTTAAGTATATTGCCTGGTCTCTTCCCTGCATTCTAGCTATTCAGTGGAAGAATCAAGGCGTTGTTGACTAATATCTGCTCTTGCTATTCTAGGTCTGTAGTTCTTGCAAACTGAGGAGCTCCTGCAGCAGTGGATTTTTGCTCGCGCGTAAGGAGGACGAGCCCCGAACTCTTGATGTGATGCGGATCTTGTTGACCTTCGCCTTTGATTCAATAAACTCTTCGGTTGAGAATAAGGCCCTCATGGAGATTAAAACCGTCAAAAGAACCGTCCGTAAGCTGCTGCATGAAGTGACCAAGCTGAGTGCAGTTCCAATTGACCCTAATCTTCCAATTCCGGTTATCAAGAGACCCCCTCCTAAAGTCAAACAGCCGCCACCTCCACCAAAGAGACGAGTTGGGCGAGATGACATTGAAATGAAGAAAGGAGATTGGCTTTGTCCCAAGTATGAATTTCTCCTTCCCCAACTGCACCATTTCGAGCATAATCTCGCATCCTCCTTATTGCATGCTGATCCTTTCACAAAAATTGTTATCACTCAAAATGGGTTTCCTCTGACCTCCGGCTATAGGTAAAAAAAAAGAATGAAATCAGCAGGAGAATATCCATTTTATTTGGATCTTGGCAGTCTCATTTTTCATTATACCCACTTAAGTTCATCCAGAGTATTCAGTCTATGTACATGTATATTTATGTATGTTTTAAAGCAAAGTTCCCACTTTGCTTTATCGAGGAATCTGCATGCTAATTCTTTCACAAACCTGGGTTTTCTCTGACCTCCGGCTATAGGTAAAAAAGAAAAGAATGAAATCAGCAGGAGAATATCCATTTTCTTTGGATCTTGGCAGTCTCATTTTTCATTATACCCACTTTAGTTCACCCAGAGTATTCACTCTATGTACATGTATATGCATGTATGTATGTTTTAAACCAAAGTCCCCACTTTGCTTTATTGAGGAATCTCCCCCCCACCCCCCACCCCCCAGATTCACATATGATTTAGCTTCTTCATACTTTCCTCAGGTGTGATTTCATGAACTTCGCCAAGAACAATGTTTGCCTGCAATGCGACGCCAAACGCCCAAAAAGGCAGCTCCTCCCAGGGGAGTGGGAGTGCCCCCAGTGAGCTCCTCCCTCCTTTGAATTCCCCTTCTTGGCAAAATACTGCATCTCTGGCATGGATTTTCCATGGGAGTTCTTGACGGCATCCTTGTGGCGTTTCTCCAGGTGCAATTTCTTGAATTACAGGCGAAACATGTCGTGCTTCCATTGCGACCACCAGCGGCCACCCGATGAATTCACTGCCGCCAAGACCCAGTTCCACCAGCCTGGCCCGAGGCCCCGGTTGGATCAGACGACCGGATTATCCTCCCAAGCGTGGAACTTTGACTTTGACGACAACGAGTCCGATGGGGCTGACGTGGCTGCCTTTGAGTTCGCAGATCCTCCTAGAACAGGCCGGAACCCTCTGGACAGCCTGCCCCAGAGAGGGCCTGAAGACGCCCCTCCCGGGGACAGAAGCAGTGGAGACAGATTGCCATCTGATGTCTCCAGGACTGGCTTTGATGACTTTGATGATGATGAGGATGATGACGTGGATAGCTACGAGATCGATGACCGCGCTATCTCGAGAGATATACCCAAATTTAGGAACAGCAGAGGATCAGCTGATCATGATGATTCTGACGATGATGATCTACCTTTGAGCCAAGAGAGAGACAGGCCTCCTCTTGATTTCCCTTCTGATCGAAGAAACAATCTTGGAAGAAATTGCAGAGGAAGGGGGACCGAGAGGCCAAGAAGCTACGATTCCGACGATGGGTTTCACTCAGGCTCTGATTCTGATGATTTTGGCTCATCTCGCTCTAGGATGAACGAGATCCGTGGCAGAGGACCCACCAGACCCAGTGGTCTTGATCGGCCAGATTTGGAAATAGGTAGGGGAACTAGAGGCAGGAGGACCTCTTTCAACAGGGCTGTTGCTGCTGCTAATGATGATGATGATGATTGGCGCCATGGTGGTGCAAGAAGTGGGAGAAATGCAGGGATGAGAGATGGGCGGAGAGGAGAGAGATTTGATCACCGGGGCTTTGATGGGCTTAGAGAAGATCGATTGGGGTACAGGAGTGGGGGTCGAGCCAGTCAGCCCAGGGGAAGATCAAGAGGAGGAGAGGGAAGATCCGATCGGTGGAATGGTGGTGAGTCGAGGAATCGAAGTGAGTTCGATCGAGGGGGACGATCCAACCAGTGGGCCGATGGGAGAAGAGATTTTAGATGAATTTAATGGAGAGAGGAGTGTGCTTTTGTTCAAAGGGGGGTTGCGGCTGATCTTTGTTCCATGCTATTTTACATCGATATCTATCTGTGAATAAATGTGCAATAAACCTCTCTCTCTCTCTCTCTCTCTTTTCCTCAGATTTGTTTCTGAGAATGGGGCTTTGAAGGGACGAAGCCCAGGACTTTGTTAGGGTTAGTCTCACATGGGTAAGCATAGTTATGGGATAATTTCTAGGCACTGGCAGGCATGAATTCTAAGAGACCGAGTTTTTAAACATGGTTTTGGGAGGATGTGACTTTGACTTCGGCATACCCTTCAACAAAAGTCAAAAAGGATGTGCTTATGCTTCAAAGAAGGTTGACCCGTAGAAGATCATCTGCATCCATGCGTGGAAACGACGGAGAGGAGTTGGAAGGAAAGAGGAGACGTGGGTTTACTACTTACGTCGAGCAATATTTACAAGCTGCTGATTCTAATGGCGGGCGAGAAAAGATGAGAGAGAGAAACAGACAGACAGACAGAGATAGAGAGAGAGAGAAGAGAGAGAGAGAGAGAGAAAGAGAGAGAGAGAGAGGGTTAGGAGAAAAGAAGGCAGAAGATGGAGGAGGGTAGTCTCTCTTCTCCTCGGGCAAAACCGCAGGAACTCCGCCGTCGAGATCAGAACAGAGTGTAACCCAGGTCAAACACGTCGGCCGGGGAGAAGTTGACCGACGGAGGATAGGCCTCTCCGGGCTGTGGCGTTGACTCGTACACGTGGCCTTGGGTGAACGAACAGAAGGCCACTTCGCCCCCCGCGCCACCGTGCATGGGGATGTCGTCACACGCGTCCGCCTGCCAGAGCGGCTCGTCCACCCACGGCCAGCCGTTTTCTATGATCGCACTTGCACCGGCAGCGGCGACGGCGCCGCCCCCGCAGCTCATGGAGCCCGCTGGGTACTCGCCGGAGAATGGGGAAGACGAGTCGGTAGCGGCGGGAGACCTGGCCGGCCGGAGACAGCAATCGGGGATGATGCTGCTCAGATAACCGGAATCGCGGCCGCCGGAGATGAAGAGGTCGCTAACGTCATCGCAGGCGACGCCGCCGCCGGCAGCCACCGCTGGCTCGAAGAGGGACCTCGAGCAGGTGTGGCAGTCGGGCTGGCAGATGAAGTCAGCAGCCGGGTGGTGGCAGGGAAGCGAAGTGAGCGTCACCGGAGCCACCACCGGAGGCGGGGGCGGCGGCGGCGCTGCGAAGGCCCTCTCGGCGTAGAGGAAGTTGGTGCGAGCTTGCGGACCTCTCATTGCGATGGCGGCGCGGTCGTAGGCGAGGGCGGCTTCATGGGCGGTGTCGAAGGTTCCGAGCCAGTGGCGCTCCTTGGTGGTGGGGTCTCTTATCTCCGCCGCGTATCTTCCCCAAGGCCGCCGCCTCACGCCGAGGAACCTGCCGGGCTCCGCCGGCTTCCGGCGGCCCCTCTTCTCAGACGAGCCCACCGCCGGCGGGGACGGCGGCGACAGGGAGGCGGGGGACCAAACCAGGGAGAACCCTGCATGAGATTGTGGGTGGTTCTCATCCGGCTTCATCAGCCTTCCGTAGTCTGCTGCTTTGGAGGACGACATCGTACAGAGAGAGAGAGAGAGAGAGAGAGGGGGGGAGGCAGAGAGACAGAAAATGAGGAGGTGGAGAGAAGAGGAGAGGAGGAGGTTTGGAGAAGGCGAGAAGAAGAGGAGGAGCTGCGATTTAATAGAGCGGCAGTGATACACATCCAAACATTCTGCTTCTGTGGTCATATACCAGTTATCGCTTAATAGTATTAAGCATGCTCATTTACAAATTTCTTGGTATACACGAAGGAGAGAGAGAGAGAGAGAGAGACCCAGATCCGAGCGAAGGGCGTGTACTAAAATGCACTATGATTTCACTGCCATGAAACGAATTAAATAGAAAATTTTGGGAGCATAAAGTATAAATGAATAAATCGTGGATATATTCAAGATACCTATAAAATTGACTGAAAAGTCTCACAGCGTCGAAGTACCCCCACTACAGAGATATCCTTTTCTCTCCCTCACACTCCCACTTTCTGTATATTATATTCCAGCCCCGACAAGGTCTCTCTCTCTCCCTCTCTCTCTCTCCCCCCTCAGTCTCATCTGAAGCACGGGACACAGAGCGGTGCGCGTCGGCCCACTCGCGTATTGGGAATGCAAGAACGAGGACAACATAGGATTTCGGTGGGCCCGACCGAGACCGATCCCTGTTTGCTAGTCCGCGTATTGTGAAACCCGGGCAGCTTTCCCGAAACCCGGGCAGGGTTTAAAATTCAGATCTAAGTGCCCTCTAATCCATAATAAATGAACAGATATTTAGCTATTTCTTATAACCATCGTGAAATATGGGAAGAGATCTTATTAACATTTCAACGTGGGAGTATTCTGACATGAATCTCGAGGTGCGAATGAGTACTTGAAAACATCTAAGTGGGATGAAGTTCGTCGAAAAATTCGTATCAAGTCATGAGGCTTATATTTTATTCTTTTGAATATGTGACCACACCGTAGAGGAAATTGACCAGCCATTAATTTTGAGTATTATTAGTAAATCATAGGGACACTAAAGAGTGGTCTACCGTGTTTGCCTCTTATTTTTCCCATTTTAGTGATATTTTTTCTGTTTCCAACGAGTTCAAGGATAGATTTCGTTGACTTCCTAATGATTTCTTCGAAGAAGAGTTGGACTACATTGGTTGACTTCCACGAACTCTCATTGTGGCTTTGCCCGCTACGGCTCTCCCCGCTGAGGATAATCGCCCACATTATCTGGAGACATTACATCCTCATAATTATCACATTATGATCTTAATGAAATATCCATTCTGGGTAAATATTGAAGACTTACTCGACACAACTCCCCATTCCTGTGCCTCAAACGCAAACTTGTTGAGCGCGGCCGATGGTTGAGAGGGCATGCATGGGCTGTAGAACCCTAAGAGAAACCTTCATATATGGTAGACATCTGACCAATAGTTTACTATATGTGGGTAAATTTTAATCTATTTTTCACGTGGGCTAATATAGAATCGAAGGTATAACATCTAAGGGACACTTCCGATATTTGTTTCCCTTCTTCTTCACGGATGGGGGGGGGGGGTGTAGAAGCGCTGCAAGGGGAGTGAAGACATCGATTCCGAGAGTGCAATTACGTGTGCATGGCCTCTCTTGAACACCCCCCATCGTCTTCCCCAGGAATCGAGACCAAGCAGCGTGTTATCGTTCCTTCCGTCGCCAGACCCCATGTGATTCCGCATTTTGCGCAGAATAAACATATGTTAAATTGAAAAGGGCTTGCATTGTCTGCGTCAGGGGTTTTAAAAAGACCCGCTTAGGAAGGTGTCTAGCTCAGGTTCTTAGAGAGAGAGGGAGGGAGGGAGGAGAGAGAGAGAGAGCGAGAGAGAGAGAGAGAGAGAGAGAGAGAGAGAGAGAGAGAGAGAGAGAGAGAGAGAGAGAGAGAGAGAGAGAGAGAGAGAGAGGGAGGGAGGGAGGAGAGAGAGAGAGAGCGAGGGAGAGAGAGGGAGGGAGAGAGAGAGAGAGAGAGAGAGAGAGAAAGAGAGAGAGAGAGAGAGGGAGGGAGAGAGAGAGAGAGAGAGAGAGAGAGAGAGAGAGAGAGAGAGGGAGAGAGAGAGAGAGAGAGAGAGAGAGAGAGAGAGAGAGAGAGAGATGGGAAATCCCCACAGAATGAAGAAGACATTCTTTTCCATGGGCACTGTCTCGCCATGCGGGGGCAGAAGCCCAGATTCAAGTGACAGTCACATGAGGTACTGTGGTTCTTGACAGGAAGTTAATAGATGATCCGCTCATTGATCTCATGAACACGACCCCGCCCATCATTAGATTGTTACTACCCGCTTTGATTAACCACCGTTAGAACATTCGTAGATCCAATGTACATTATATACTTGGGCAACTTTTCCTCTTCTTTTTTTTACTTGGTTTTTTTTTTTGAGAAGGAAAAACTTGATGTCTTCTGCGCGAAGATCATCCAGGTTTTGATTATCTACCCACCAACAGAACAGGAAACAAGGCATGACATGTATCAATACCACATATCTGGAAAAAAAATGAAAGAATTTGAAACTTTTCTATAATAGATGTTCTGCAGGAGGATCGTCTGGGTTCTGGTAATCCATTCTAGATTGATCACCAGGGTCTAGATATCTAGCCACATTTGGATCTAGAAACAAGGAATTAAAAGGCTGAGGAAGATTACTGTTCACCGGAAAACGAACAAAATTGAGAACCCTCAGGTTATTCAGAATGATCAACCATGTGTTGAAAATGATTAGGGGAAAGATTACTTGGTTCTGATGAATTTTTACAGAAAGATAACGAGGATTTGAATATTGGTCTGGAAAAAATCAAACTAGAAATGTGTGAGGACCATGTTGCAGGAGGCTAAGTAGGCTTACTGTTCACGGAAAAAAGAAGAAGAAAAGAACAGGAGGGTTCTTGTAATCTTTTCCAGAAAGATCATCTAAGTTTTGATACTCATCTTCGACTGAAGACCAACTGGGTTCTGATAACATTTCCGAAAGGTAACATGGGTATAAAATATTCAATTAAATCACCAATGGAACCAGAAACAAGGAATTTGAAGGGTCAGTTAACTTCTTGTTCATGGGAAAAATGAAGAACAGGAGATGCCTGATAATCTTTTCGGAAATATTATGTGAGTTTTGATAATCATTTTTCCAAAAAATATCCCGCGTTTTCATAATCTTTTTCCAAGGATCGCCAGGCTTGAAATTATTAATCCACGTATGGAACAAGAGACAAGGAATTAGAAGGCTCCGTCAACTTAATATTCGTTGAAAAAAACAAGAAAATGTGGGATCTGATAATCCTTACACAAGGATCACCTGGGTTTTGCTAGCCATTTTTCCAATAAAAGATCTCCAGGGTGTAAATCCACGAAAAGGACAAGAAACAAGGGATTAAAAGGGTATGTAGGCATACTTTTCCTGGAAAAAAATGAAGAAAGCTGGCCGCTGGCGGTCATAGAGGCCTCAGATGGGCTTGTCATTGGGAACAGCACAGGTGGCTTGCTGTCCTCGATGCTTCGCTGGGCACTAAATTGTCTTCTAATCATGAAAGCAAAGCCTAGTGTTATTTTATCTGAATGCCTGTGTGGATTCTCTAATTTAACGGAGTACTATACGAGCAATGAAATTTTATATTCCACCCAAGAAAGCTGATGTTCAGTCTCGGAATCTGCGTCTTTTGACTTCGGCACTCAGTTTTCTACAGCTTTGACGAATTCCCTCTGATCCATTCTCTCTCATGGTGAAAAAAAATCACTTCTTCCCCTCCGTTGGCGTCTTATTGAGCGTGATTCTGTCTATGCCTCAATGCGTTAGTTCAAGCCTCCAGACGTCAAAATCTCATTATTTGCGCACGTATACTTAATTAATTTAAGTACATAAAGTTAACCCTACCCTATTCTTCAAAGTCACTCAAACGTGTTTTGCATGCTAATCATGCCTAGAGAGAGAGAGACCTGAAGGTCTTTCATTAAAGAGCAAATTAAGTTTACCAACTCACCTAGAGATTAACGAACACACCTCAGATTCAACCCTGTAGACCACTCATGATTGGTGTGATCGCCATCCCATGAGGCATTCTAGCGCAAATAAACAAATCGCGCTTTGAATTAGTCAATCTACAGTGGCTTCCCCGGATTTGCCAATCTGAAGAAATGAAGACTGTATCGTGCCCTGGATCTCAAAAGGTGTGAGAGAAAGGACTCTTGTGGGTGGTGGGACAGACCTTAGCTGCACCATGGGGTAGAGAGATAGAGAGTGAGAGGGAGAAGTGAGGGGGGGGTAGAGAGAGAGAGAGAGAGAGAGAGAGAGAGAGAGGGAGCTCCTAAGCCCAAGGTGGAGCACTGCTGCAAATATATAACAAGATGTCGTGGATTTGGAGTAGGAAGGGCGGCAGCTCGTTGGCGTTCTAGCATCCGAGCTTGGAGCATCCGGTCAGAGTAGACTGGTGGTGGAGGGGCTCAAGACCCCAGGCACATACCCTTGTCCACATTTGTAAAGGTCACCCGGGATTTGAGGATGTCGTTGCCCTACTTTGACTTCGTGTTTAGGAATATAGTAAGGTGCACTCGCCTCCCGAACACCTCTCCCATAGATGCATGCATAGAGGTATAGACATACACGTGTGCTTGTGGAGGGAGCGAGGGTAAGAGCTATGTGGGTGTGGGTGCCTAGAGAGAGAGAGAGAGAGAGAGAGGGAGGGAGGCAGAGAAAGAGAGAGATGATACATGGGCGTGTGTATATAGAAATGTGTCTCGAGAGAAAAAGGAGACGATCTGCTTTGCGTGCATGTGTGAGTTGGATTGTCATTTCATCTTCATTTTTCATTGATACATGGCTAGATTCATGGATAGATTCGTACATAAATGCGTCTATAGAGAGAAATGGAGGAGGGAGGTGTAACGCGCAAGCGCGTGTTGGATCAATGAATCCCGTCTTCATCTTCCCTTGTCGTTGTGATATAATAATGCCCTGAGAAGAAGAAAAGGAGTGTCCTTCGTAGCCGCGAGCAAACAAGGTTTT